CTTCAACAACCAAATAATTACAGCCACCATAGACCAGGAATTTATCCTTGTTCCTTTTCAGGTACTTTAGGATATTCTCGGTTGCAGTCCAATGCTCCTCTCCTGGGTCTGATTGGTATCGGCTCGTAGCACTCAAGGCATATGATACATCCGGCCTAGTACATATCATGGCATACATGATCGATCCAATAAGCGAAGCATATGGAATCTGACTCATTCTCTCTCGCTCATCAGGTGTCTGTGGACACTGTTTCTTGCTGAGAGTTATGCCATGGGACATGGGTAGGTGCCCTCTCTTGGCCCCTTCCATGTTGAATCGTGCTAGTACCTTATCTATATAAGTACTTTGGCTCAATCCAATCATCCTCTTAGATCTATCCCTGTAGATCTTGATGCCCAATATGTACTGTGCCTCTCCCAAGTCCTTTATTGAAAAGCACTTTCCCAACCAGCCCTTTACGAACTCTAACAGTTTAGTGCTGTTTCCAATGAGTAATATTTCATCGACATATAAGACTAGGAATGCGATGTCACTCCCACTGACCTTCTTGTAGACACAAGACTCATCTGGATTCTTGATAAAACCAAACTTACTAATGGCTTCATCGAATCCCAAATTCCAATTTCTGCTTGCCTGCTTTAGTCCATAAATGGACTTCTTAAGCTTGCATACCTTCCCGGCATTGCTTAGATCAACAAAACCTTCCGGCTGTGTCATATACACAGTTTCTTCCAACATCCCATTAAGGAAGGCAGTTGTGACATCCATTTGCCATATTTCATAATCTTAATATGCAGCAATCGCTAGGATGATCTGGACGAACTTAAGCATTGCAACTGGCGAAAAGGTTTCATCATAATCAACTTCGTGAATTTGCCAGTAACCTTTTTCCACTAGTCTAGCTTTGTATATAGATACATTTCCATCTTTGTCTGTTTTCAATTTAAAAATCCATTTGCAACCGATAGGTGTGTAACCTTCGGGCAAATTAACAAGTCCCAGACTTGATTTTCAGACATGGAGTCCATCTCGGATTTCATGGCCTCTTGCCATTTAGCAGATTTGGGGCTCGTCATAGCTTGTTTGTATGTCCTGGATTATCTCCGTCCATAACAACGATGTCTTGATTTTCGGTTAAGACAATACCAAGGTATGTGTCTGGTTAAGATCTTGGCCGTTGTAACCTACGCAGGGTGATAGGTTGAGCATTTGCATTGTCGGTTTGACTCTGACTAATGGAAACATCTGCTTCTAAAGCACTTTGATTGTCAGTTTTGTCATGTTGACTTTGTTGCTCTACCTCTCGAACTTCGTCGAGTTCGATTTTCCTCCCAATTGTCATTTTGGAAAGGTGTTCCTTCTCCAAAAAGACACCATCACGAGCAACAAACACTTTGTTCTCGAATTTATTGTAGAAGTAATACCCATTGGTTTCTTTTGGGCAGCCCACAAAGAAACACTTGTCTGATTTTGGGTGAAGTTTGTTAGAAATTAATCTCTTGACATATGCTTCGCAACCCCAAATCTTAAGAAAAGACAACCACGGAGGTTTCTTCGTCCATAATTCATATGGAGTCTTTTTGACAGCTTTTGACGTAACATGGTTCAGTGTTAGTGCCGCAGTTAGAAGTAAGTGTCCTTAGAAAGAGATAGGAAGTTCACTAAGACCCATCATTGATCGAACCATGTATAACAAGGTTCGATTCCTCCGTTCGGATACTCCGTTCCATTGCGGAGTTCCAGGAGGTGTCTGATAGGCATGTCGCGTACCTAACAAAAAAAACCTAACTATTCCTCCTAACTATGTAGTCGGGCAAGTAAGGGTCGAATCCCAAGATACTAAGGTCTACCTAATTAAATAGACTCAAGAAATCACTAAGCAAGTAACAAATCAATGGTGATGAATACTAAGAACTAATAAATAAAGGACTCAATTAATCTAAAGAAAGTGATATATCAATGAACTAAAGCATCCAAGATCAAGCATTACCACGAATATAATCAATGCATAAATAATTCTACCCCCAATAACAATTCAATCGACAAGAGGAAAAGCATTCCCTAAACAATACCAAAGGTCTCTTGTGAGTTATCAATGGCTTCCCAAATCAACTATCAAGCCTATTTCCATGGAATCAAGCAAATAAGGGACATTAAATACAATACATAACTTCCTAATCATTCAATCATCTACTTCTGTGATGACCTTCAAACCCTTAATTGAAATACCCAAATCCCGTTAATATTTAACTTCCGTTGCAATAAGAACAAAGGGATGATAAAAATACTAATTATTCCTAATCTAGCATTGGAATAAACACAATCAATCAAGCATGTCAATTGGGAATATTATTGGAGAATTTAAAGATTAAATCCAAGCATTAATCATATTCGGGCTTTGCAAGATCCCGGATTATGAATCTACTCACACATGCTAACAAAATCAGTAATGAAATTCAATGGAGAAAACATAATAAAAAAGCAATAATAATTGAAAGAGAAGAAAAATAGATGAATACCAATATTGCTTCAATTGTAAGAACTCAAATTGTTGATGAATAATAATCCAAGCTAATAGAAGAATTAAAATTGCTCAAAAGAGAGTAAACTAGGGTTCTTAGAGAAAACTAATGCTAGAGGATATAAAAAAGTGTCTTCTAATTGTGATTACAAAGGTTATTTATACCCTAAAAAGATAAAATTACGAAAATAGGCAAGTCGGATTCCGCAAGGCAGTGCTCGGTCCAACCGGGCGAGCTATGCCCGATCGGGCGGCTGGGATACGACGCTTCTTCCTCTTAGTAGTTTTTCTTCCGCCACATGCTCGGTCCCACCAGGCAGACCATGCTCGATCGGGCGCGCGAGCGGCCTACAAATTACTTGCTGCCTTCGAAATTCCTAGCTATCTTCTAACTCCTCTGTGCCCGGTCCAACCGGGCAAGACATGCCCAACCGGGCACTTAAGGGCTGCAACACATACTTCGTATTCTGCTCATCCTTCTTTGCCCTGTCTGACCGGGCAAGCTAGGGTCAACAGGGCATGGGGGAAATCTTCATCTTCACACACTAACCTCTTTTATAAACATCCAAAACACGTCCAATTCGTACAAGAAACTCCGTATTCCTATGAAACTCAATAAAAATACATCGGACACACTATAAAAGAGATTGTTAGCGGGAAATGGCTCCATAGAGCCTAAAACCATGCAAATATACATTGTAAAACCGGGATAAAACATGGTATAAAACTCATACATCAAATTCCCCCAAGCTAACCTCTTGCTTGTCCTCAAGCAAGACAATCAAGAACAACAAACAACCAAGTAAACATACTTCACCCCATAATGCAATTTAAAACAATAGACTCAAAAACCGAAATCAAACAAGCACGCATCTTAGCGAACTAATCAAATCGCTCAAACCATTAATCAACCTAAATAGTCATCAAGTGAAATCAACCATGTACAACTCAAGAATCAATGACTAGAGTATCTCACCTTGGTGGTCACTCAACACACTATTTACGTGGCAAGCTAATAATGAGCTCGATCTCTCACCATCCCCACCAATAATGCAATCCCCCCATCTCACAGCACTCGCGTGTTTTAAGGGTTATATTAACGCTCAACCTAGTCAAATGTCGACTCGAAATGTGACATATACTCTAGTATTTTGACAAAAGACTCATTTCACATGCATACAACACCATGCACGAAGGTCAGAAGGTCTTTTTCAAGCTTGTAATGTAGGTCGGGTAAAAGTGGGTAGGAAATAAATTTGGGGAATGTAGGCGATCATAGTCTAACCGGGGAGCTATCAAATACAATCAATAAACATCCTCGATCCATCGTTCTCATTAACAAGAGCACATACCTCAATTACATCAAGAACATCCACTACTACCTTTATATTCTTCAAATTTCAAATTCCTTTCTTCTTTTTTTTTTTCTCTTCTTTTCTATCAATTTTTCTTTCTTTTCTTTTGAAAAACAAAATTCCTTTTCTTTTGCATCAATTTTTTTTCTTTGTTCCTTTTTTTTTTTCACTTTTCAAGAATAAAACCTCCATGCTTATGATTCCTTCTTTTCTCCCTTTTTTTTTTCTTTTTTTTTTTAGAGATCCCACATTAAGCACCAATTACATCACAAAATAAAACAAACACCATGATATAAGCTCCCCCAAGCTAGACTTGGGAAAAGTAACCAAATTAAGGACAAGGGGTTAATTTTGTGACTTTTATGAAAAATATGGTCAACGCTACAACATGGGCGAGCAAGAAGGGAACATACGTTTCTAAATTCGTCTAGAGGTCACCTAAAGAACATGGCCTTCGTCCTTCTTAACGTGCACATGCAATGTATTATGACACATTACTAAAAGTCTAGAGTCAAAACTAAGATCAACATCACACTAGGAAATAAACACACATGAATGAATAATTAAGGCTCAAGCCTCACGGTTAACACAGTCAAGCTCCAAACTCATACATGGTTAACAACGTTGACTCCCACAAGGGATCAAACAATTTGAGGTCAAATCATGATCATTTAATTCGCAATGCAAATCTTTCAATCGAGATTAAATCAAAAACCTTTTGGTATTAAGGATAGGGGCACAGGGAAGTAGTTCATTGGCCGTTCATTATCATGATTCTCGTATTTTTTCATTTTTTTTTCTGTACTACCAAAGAAATAGAAACCAAAGCAATAAAAACAAACCAACAAAGCAAAAGAAAATAAGAGAACATACCGAGATAGATATACACAAGTCTCCCCCTAGCTACACTCGGCAATGGCCTCATTGCAACGTGTGGGAACTGGAAAATTACCTCGGGGCGGTGATGACCTTTTTGTTTGTTTGTTTTCTAAACACTAACAAAACAGGAAAAAAAAATGTAAAAGGAAAAAAAATATAAAATAAATAAAATAAAATAAAAAGGAATGGGTTGCCTCCCATTTAGCGCTTGTTTAAGGTCTTAAGCTTGACCTTCTTTATTAGCTCAGCCTGGGTCACCACACAAAGAAGAAACTCCGCGATGTTGCCCATAAAAATATCCGCCTCCAAATGACTCCTTCATTTTATATTTGACATGCTCTGTATCTGAACTTACTTTCATATAGCTAAACACATCATTTGGTGGAATAATGTCCTCGTTTCTCACAAGATTTCTATCACATACACACTTATCAACCAAAGGGTTAGTAGCATCAATTCTTAAACAAGTACCACCATCAAATATAAAATTATGTTCATTAAAGAGCTTAAACACTACTTGTTTATCCTGGGCCCTAATGGTCACTTGTCTTTTAGGAACATCTATTAGAGCTTGACTTGTGGTAAGGAATGGGCGACCAAATATAATCGGGATCTTATGGTCTTCTTTCATATCCATAACAACAAAATCAACAGGAAAAACAAGTTCACCAACCTTAACTAACACATCCTCAACCACACCTTTAGGGAGTTTAGCAGTCCTATCAGCCATTTGAAGAGAAATAGGGGAAGGTTTAAGTTTTTGCAAACCTAATTTTTCATATAATGAATAAGGCATTAAATTTACATTAGCACCTGAATCACACAAAACCCTGTCAAAAAATATTTCGTTTATCATACAGGGAATAGTAAAACTACCAGGATCATGCAGCTTAGGTGGTAGGCTATCACGTGAAAGAGTAGAGCATTTCTCACTTACTACTTCCTTATCATCATGTTGATCTTTAATTTCCTTCACAAATTTTGCAAATTGAGGCATTTGAATTAAAAGATCAGAAAAAGGAATGGAAGCATGTACCTTTTTAAGAGTCTCGCAATATTCCCAAAATGTTTATCGAGCACAGCTTTTGACAACCTTTGCGGGAAGGGCATCGGTTCCTCATAGGCCGGTGGAGCAACATATTTGGGACTTTTTACATCCTCACACTTTTCATCTTTTTTGACTCCACACTGCACACTTTCTCATCTATTCGAAGATAATTCATCTCTTCTCAAGAAAACTGCATTGCATTGTTCCTTTTGGACTTTTGCTTGATCATGAAGAGTTGATAAAGGACTCAATTGTTGTGAAAGTTGAGAAAAGTGAGTTTCTATCCTCTTATGTTGAGCAATAAGCATTTGAATCGAGCTTTCAAAGTGTTCATTTTGCTTTGCTTGTAGCTCAAATTGCTTTGTTATAAGCTCTTGCTGTCGAAGTTGGGAAGTAGTGAAAGTCTCCATAATGGAGTCAAGATTTTATTTTGAAGTTTGCGGTGGTAGTTGTTGATTCATGGGTTGGTGATTAAAAGATTCCCTTGCTTGAAAACTAGGTGGTGGTGACGGAGAATTCAATTGAGCTTGAGTGTTCATATAAGAGAAGTTTGGATGATTTCTCCACCCTTCATTGTATGTGTTTGAATGAGGATCATACGACCTTTTAGGATTAGAGGTGTAGAAGGCATTGGCCTCCTCAATTGACATCTCAGTGGGGCAATTAGGTGCAATGTGACCCTGCACATTACACATCTGACAGGTCTCCGGTGAGCTAGTAGATGTTCCGGCTTGGAGTCTGTCAAACTTGCTTGTCAATGCCTGCACAGAGCTAGTCAAAAGAATTAGAGCATCAACATCTAATTTACCTCCCTTCTTCACACTATGTCGACCTCCTGGATGATAATTATCATTGGTTGCCATCTTCTCAATTAGCTCTTTGGCTTTAGTTGGGTTCTTAGTCATGAGAGAACCCCCGGATGCAGCATCAATGTATATGCGGAACTCATGGGTCAGACCGTTGTAGAATGTTTGGATCAACATCCACTCTGGGATACCGTGATGAGGCCATTGTCTCTGTAAGCGCTTGAATCTTCTCCATGCCTCATATAAAGACTCATCATCAGATTGACGAAAGGTAGCTAGCTCGTTCCTTAACCTTGCAGTCTTCTCTTGCCCTAAAAATCTTACTAAGTAAGCTTTGGCAAGCTTATCCCATGTATCAAAGGAACCTATACCTTCGTCTCATAGCCATTCCTTTGCTCTATCCCTTAGTGAAAAAGGGAACAAACGAAGTCTGATAGCATCATCAGTAACACCGTTGAGCTTTATAGTGTCACACTTCTCCAAGAAACTGTCTATGTGACTAACAGGGCATTCATGAGGTGTGCCTGCAAATGACTTATTGGAGATGAACTGTATGAATTGAGGTTTTAATTCAAATCTCTGAGCGGTAATAGGTGGTCTGACAATGCTGGATAGGAGCCCAGTTGCGGTGTCAGGAATGTCGTACTCCAATAAAGATTTGATTCTTTCGGTCATTTTACTTGTATTTTGATATCTCCTTCTTCTACCTCTTCGTCTCTTTGCAGTAGCTTCGATTTCAGAGTCAAAAGGTGTTAGGTTGTCTAAACCTGAACATCGAGTTTGCATGAAACAAAGAACTAAAAAGAGGAGATCAAAAATACAAGGGGCAATAGCCGAAGCAACAAATCGAAAGCTTAGTAAAAACGAATCACAAATAATCAGAATGAAACCGTTAGTCCCCGGAAACGGCGCCAAAATTTGACAGGCGTGTTGCGTACCTAACAAAAATAACCTAACTATTCCTCCTAACTATGTAGTCGGGCAAGTAAGGGTCAAATCCCAAGAGACTAAGATCTACGTAATTAAATAGACTCAAGAAATCACTAAGCAAGTAACAAATCAATGGTGATGAATACTAAGAACTAATAAATAAAGGACTCAATTAATCTAAAGAAAGTGATATATCAATGAATTAAAGCATCCAAGATCAAGCATTACCACGAATATAATCAATGCATAAATAATTCTACCCCCAATAAAAATTCAATCGACAAGAGGAAAAGCATTCCCTAAATAATACCAAAGGTCTCTTCTGAGTTATCAATGGTTTCCCAAATCAACTATCAAGCCTATTTCCATGGAATCAAGCAAATAAGTGACATTAAACACAATACTTAACTTCCTAATCATTCAATCATCTACATCCGTGATGACCTTCAAACCCTTAATTGAAATACCCAAATCCCGTTAATATTCAACTTCCGTTGCAATAAGAAAAAAGGGATGATAACAATACTAATTATTCCTAATATAGCATTGGCATAAACACAATCAATTAAGCATGTCAATTGGGAATATTATTGGAGAATTTAAAGATTAAATCCAAGCATTAATCATATCCAGGCTTTGCAAGATCCCGGATTATGAATCTACTCACACATGCTAACAAAATCAATAATGAAATTCAATGGAGAAAACCTAATCAAAAAGCAATAATAATTGAAAGAGAAGAAAAATAAATGAATACCAATATTGCTTCAATTGTAAGAACTCAAATTGTTGATGAATAATAATCTAAGCTAATAGAAGAATTAAAATTACTTAAACGAGAGTAAACTAGGGTTCTTAGAGGAAACTAATGCTAGAGGATATAAAAAAGTGTCTTCTAATTGTGATTACAAAAGGTATTTATACCCTTAAAAGGATAAAATTACGAAAATAAGCAAGTCGGATTTCGCAAGGCAGTGCCCGGTCCAACCGGGCGAGTTATGCCCGATCGGGCGGCGGGGATACGTTGCTTCTTCCTCTTCGTAGTTCTTCTTCCACCACGTGCCCGGTCCCACCGGGGGGACATGCCCGATCGGGCACGCAAGCAGCCTTCAAATTACTTGTTGCCTTCGAAATTCCTAGCTATCTTCTAACTCCTCTATGCCCGGTCCAACCGGGCAAGACATGCCCAATCTGGCACTTTGTAGAATATTTAGAGTGTTGATGGTTGCGCGATTGCGACCATGAAGGAGCTAGCGCCCGCGCAAGGTTGGCGCGGCCGCGCAGAGAGCGCGCCTAAACCGCGTACCTTTCTGGAATTTGGCAATTTGGAAGGGTGAGGATGGCGCGCCCGCGCTGTTGGTCGCGTATAAACCGTGACCTCACTACCTTTTTGTGAAATTATGCAGATATTGTGAGGATCGCCCACTCCTATATTAGGAGCGCCTGCTCGCGCCTCCCTGTTTTTGTGGTTTTTTCTGACGGTTGAGTCTTTTATTAAAAGATATCAATTCGTGAAAGAAATATATAGAACATAATTCTTCTTCTCCCCAAGCAGAATTATCCACACTTTTCTCTCAAATTTCTTGCAAACTTTTGTGAGGAAACTCTTTCAATTATTACAATATTGGTGAATTTTCCATCTTGATTTCGATTCTAGTACTAAGAACGAAATTGCTGTCAATTGTATGTCAAAGAGGATTTCCGATTTAACCTAAGTATCGTGTGGGGGAAATAAACCTCTTTAGGAAAGTGTTCACACGCCTTTGACAGTGTATCAAGGATCTAGTCTTACGGGACATTGCAATTCTCATGTTCATGTTCGTTGTTCTTGGCTTGGAGGAAAGGCAAGTTTGATTAACTTCACACTAGTGTAGTCTATATAATTTTCTGTAATTTCTTAGACTTTGTTAATACTTGATTGAAATACATTGATTTGTATTTGATATTTATAATTACATTGTAATCATTTATTGTTAGGTTTTGTTCCCACACATTTTTAAGTGTTTTTCTTGTTAGAAATCACTGTAAAACCTAACAATCTAAAGAGGTGTAATCTTAGAATTTGTCAAGTATGTCTAGTGTAAAGGAATTAACAACAAATTTCTTCAAACTCAAGAAGTTTGATGGTGTTGAGTTTAGGAGATGGAAGAAGAAAATGTATTTTCTTCTTACATCTTTTAATGTTGCCTACGTGATTAGTACTCCAAGGCCGGATGAACATGAGAATGAGACCTTGGAATCCGTTCGGGAGATATCAAAATGGGACAATGATGATTTCATTTGTCGTGGTCATATCTTGAATGGTATGGAGGATGACTTGTTTGATGTCTATCAAAATATTGAGTCGGCTAAGGAGCTTTGGGAGTCCTTAGAGAGCAAGTACATGGCGGAAGATGCATCAAGTAAGCAATTCTTAATTAGCAATTTTAATAATTTTAAATTTTGTTGATGGTCGGTCCATAATGGACCAATTCCATGAATTGCAACGTATTTATGGTAGCTTAGAACAACATGGAATAGCCATGAATGAGTTGTTTGTTGTTTCTAGCATTATTGACAAATTACCCCCTAGTTGGAAAAGTGTTAAGCATGATTTGAAACATAAGAAAGAGGACATGACATTGTCCGGTTTGGCCACCCATCTTCAAATTGAAAAAGGGATTTGTGCCATGGAAGGAGTTAAGGATGGAAATCCTAGCACATCTACCGTGAATATGGTAGATGAAGGGAGAACTAGTGCATCTACTAGTGGAAAAAGGAAGAATAATAATTCTTCCAAAGGAAAGTCCAAAAGGCAAGCAAACAATAACAAGTTTGCTTGTTGGGAATGCGGTAAGGTTGGTCACCGCAAGAAGGACTGCTTTTGTTTTAAGAAAAGGATGGAGAAAGCCAAGGAGGGTCGTGTTAATGAAAGCAAGGACCCACCCACCAAAGGTAATCCAATTCATGAGGTTGAATTTAATTCCGGTTTTGATTTAAATGCAACGGATCCTAACATTTTTATGGTGCAGGATGATGACTCATGGTGGATTAATTCGGGGGCTTTAAGGCATGTATGCAAGAGTAAACACTGGTTCAAAACCTTTCAAAAGGTTGTTGATGGAGAAGACCTCTACATGGGGAACAACTCTACCATCAAGGTTCTTGGAAGAGGACAAGTTGAGTTTGTGTTTAGTTCAGGGACTGCAATTATTCTTAGGAATGTTTTGTATG